TAGGCATAAACAAATTCTGCGTAACGCTGAAACATTAGACGAAGTTTTCACTTCTTCCAAATTTAGTATTTTATTCATAAAGGAATTGATAATATCTCTTTTTCCGAACCTATCTTTCAGAATTTTCACTTTAGAATTATCATAATTATGACCACTGTGTAAAAATATGTAAAAATTATTACTGCGTAATTATTTTACGTAGTTGTCATAATTTTTACGCAGTGGTCATAATTCGAACCCTGAAACAACATTTGCAGCTTAACCAGTTAAAAAGGTTTTAAGATACGCGAATTTTTCAACTTTAGAAATGCTTTCGTTTTTATGAGTCATACTTTCGAAGCTATTCCAAAAATTTTTCCAATGTTTCCGATGTCCGGAAAATTTTTCAGTTACTAACTTTGGCAATTTAACTGAACGCTGAATTCTTAAATTTTCACTTAAAGAGACATTCGTAATTTGATTATGCGAATATCAATCTTAGTTTTGCTTTCAAGGTAACGTAATATTCTACTTGAGTATTTCAAACATTTTGCTTTATATTCCTGACTAGCCGTAACCTCTTTTTCTATTTGATCAACTGCAATGGAAGTTTCGATTTCATTGTCGAGAGCTTTCAGTTCGTTACTTCTTTCTATTAAGAGCTCGTAATCGTCTCTTAAATCTTGCTCATCAAGCTCCTCTCCTGGCTTTAATTTAGCATCAATATGATTTATTAACTGTGTTGTTAATTTTCGAACTATTGTTCTTTAGCTTTTGCTAGTTCTAACGTTGCCATTTTCTTCTTAATACTGTAGAACATAAATACATCCAAGGTTCAAAAACAAATACAAAATGAGAGCCTACCTTTTATTTCCTCGTGGGCATGATTTAGTTATCCAAACGTTATAATCCAACAGACCCGTCTATTCCCGGCCGATGCGCCATGTGGCATTTTTACTAATCCAAAACTTATAACTATCTTGATCGTTCAGTTTGTACGTAATAGGCGATGAAAGGCTCAGTTTAAAAGATAACAACAAATAAATTTATTTACATGATTACTGAAATAAAGTGTAGTATTAATTATGTCTTTAATTATTAGGGCCGGCGACTCCCTTACAAACATTTTTACTCTTAGTTAAGAACATCTCATTATTACAAATTCCAAACTTACACTGAAGAAATAGGGGGTACAGCGCCCTCTATAGGCGTTTCTTAACATATATTTTAATTGGTTTTCTTCCTGGAAATAATTTTGCTGGAATCTTCCTTGTAGTGTCATGTTTAGCCAACATTAAGGTAAATGCTAACTCATTGGCACAGTTATCCCAGAGTTTATGATAGTTTTTCACATAAGCAATTTATCTACTATATTCTTATTGACTCACTCCGCTATGTTTGACTCCAGCCGATAAGGCATTTTTAAATGTCGTATGCCAAGCCCTGCGCATAGTCCCTCAAATATTTGACTAATAAACTCTTTCCCATTATCTGAGATTACCTTTAATGGAGCTCCGTATTTTAAAATATATTTATTTAAGAAAGAACATGAAACTATTTTAGCCAAGGCTCTTCTTAGGGGGACTTTATCCCCCACTTATAGAAATTAATTATGATAGTAGCACATGTACTCCATTATAGGACGCATGACATTTTCATCAAGATGTTGATTTATTTTGATTTATCTTGATTTGAAAAGTGTCATATTTCCTACAGTTGGGTACATGTACCACTTACATTAGTAGCACATGTACTCCATTATAGGACGCATGACAGTTTCATCAAGATGTTAATCAACATCTTGATGAAAAGTGCCATATTTCCTACAGTTGGGTACATGTACCACTTACAATAAGCAATTTATCTCTTATTCAAACACTTCTGAGTACGCACGAAATTTGAGACAAAATTTAAGTATATTTTAATATAAAAGCATACAAATTATACAAAAAGGTTAAAATAATTATAAGAGAACATGTAGAAATTGATGGCAATTTGACTTGAATTCTATGGTACGCACTTAAAGCTGTCGACTAAAAACGACCACTATGTGCTATCCTGTTAGAACAGTTTCATAATTAAGTCAGGGGTTCTCAAGCATTTTTTGCTTCATGCATCCCTTTCCCAACTCATAGACGATCATTCTAGCCCCGTCCTTAAAAAAAAAAAAAAAAAAAAAAAAAAAAAAAAAACTAGAAATATATGTACATTTATTAAAATTTAAGTTATTTTTTAGTGTTTTATAAATTAATTAAGAAAAAGTATCGAAAATATATCTAAAACCCTAAACTTGAATTAAAAAAGATTTTTATATTCATAAACTAAAACTTAGTACTTAACAGGTAAATAAAAGTCTGACCGCATTCTACCTTCCCTAAAATTATGAAATTCCCTCTGGCTGAGAACACTTGATCTAGACCAGATTCAGATACATGGAAATATAATGGTTATAATTTTAGTTTAAAGCAAAAGTATTACATAACTCACTTAAAAATTGTAACTTAAAATTGCTAATAAAAGTTTTCTCATGAATGTTGTTGTTAAAAACTAAAATTATTTTAAATTTTCGTTAGAAACGTCTTTAAAAGGTTTGGTTTACTTAATTATGGCAAAGCACACTAGGGATATCTGCCTAAGGGATGACTTTGTGGAGGACTTTCTATTGGAAACTGGCTCGTAAACACGTTGCACATGGGGAAAACCACGAAAACGCCATTGCAGACAACCCGTTCGCGGGATTCGAACCTTGGACTGAACTACCAGTGTTCAGCGACTTTACCGCTCGGCCGCTGGTAGTCCCGTCTATAACAGACTAAAAAATATTAAGCTGTTACACCTATTATGCTACCTTATGCTGCCATATCTCTAAAATCCGCACAGTTTAATAGAATCTACAATTATTGTATGAAACCTAAGATTTTGAATTTACATGGTGGCCTCACAAATAGCCATATACAAGATTGTTCCCAATTGGGGATTATGGAACACATTCGCCAAATCCTGGTGGTGGAGAATCATCATCCACCACCTTTTTTTTAGTTCGGGCGCCACTGAGGTTTTTTTGATGGTGAGAGAAGTGAAAAATAAGCAGTGCCCTTGCCGGGACTCGAACCACGGACCTTTCGAATAAGCGTCGAGTATGCTGACCACTACACCACGAAGGCATGCTAAGAAGGGGGAAGAAATACCTTATAATATGAATACTGGAAGAATTAATGTATTTAATAAAGGAAGTTTCTCTGTCTACATACCGATTTATGTGGTTTTATTTAAATAGCATATCTAATAAATGTAATTAAAATTCATTTAAATGAACTGAAGCTGCTGAAGCAATGCATTTCATAAACTCTTACGTAACTTGTACTTTAAATTAAGTCTAATTTGTAAATGGCTTAATTGTAATTGCAATATATATCACTATTTTATGCATGTATTATTTACATGACATTAATTTATTAATTGCACTTATACTATTTGAATTCAAGAAGCACTGGTTGAAGAGAAGAAGTCCTTATATTAACTTATTAATTTAACTTTGAATATCATGCTTTTGTAAACTTATACAACGTTAAATCAATGCCAATATAACGTTAAGGCAAATGTACGTTAAGTCACGTATTAGGTTGAGGGGGGTAGTGTATTTTGTAATACATTTAGTTCGTAGGTGTGAATAATTCCATCATTGTTATAGCAAATAAAAAGTGTTACTATAATAGTAATGCTATACATTTTTTAAATTGGTAAAAGAATGTGATTAATGTGTTGGTTATTTATTTAGGTTTTTTTTTTTTTTGTTTTATTAGGACTAATGCTTTGAATATCAAAGAAGAAAGATTTTTCTTTGCAGAAAAAATTTGGAAACATCAAGAGGAAAAGATTATATTCTTTTAACAGCACAATTAAATAATGCATTTCTGTATTTCATCAAGAATGACTAGTGATATTTGTTTGTGTAAAGTTTCATAGTTAAAAAGTAAAGTAATCTGATTTTGGCATTCTAACTGCTTTTTTATGACATACAAATATTTTTTTGTTTATTAATACACTTACATACACATGCATGTGCACTAAAAATAGTTTTTCACTCATTTTTCATCGGGAAAAAATCTATTTGAAAAGTTAATGCTGAAAAGTCACTGGAATTTATTATTATTAAGATATTACCTTTTAATAAAAATTTCAGTTAAAATGAAATTGCATTATTCATATATACTTTTCACAGTAGAGTATGCGACTTTAAACAAAATTAAGATATTTATTATTGAATATAAATTTATTTACATGTTGCATTTTTATATATTGTAGATATCTGGCGTTCAAAGAAAGTACAAGTATTGTAAAAGCCTTCTAAAACTATTACGGCTTTTTCCACATCCGACAAGGAGACAGTAAACAAAAGGCTTTTTCCGAGATAGTTTTCCATTATTGCAAATTATAGTTTATTTTATTTTCTTTATTTTTTCGTAGTTTTCTAAATGGGGACTTTTGCACGTTTCGCTCTACGGTTATTTTTTCAGTAGTAAAAATGGCATTTGTTCAGAATTCGAAACCAAACAGTAGCAATTATTTTATTAGATGAGAACGACACATAGTCTAGCCCGGGACCAAATCTCAAATAATTTCACAGGAATTTCAGGTAAAAATTTTGAGGTAATTTTTTTTTTTTTTTTTTTTTAGATTTATTCTGGAGTCTTTTAAGTATTTTTTTTTTCTTTCAGAAATTATACTTTTGTATAGAATAATAATAATAAAATTTAAGAAAATCATTGTAGTTGTACAGATATACTTGTTTATTTCTGGAATATAAAATAATTGGAATAATTAAATAATTGCTTTCATAGCTTCCACAGTTAGTAGATGACTTCTAATAAATTTCTTTGACACAGCTCTAAAACACCCTCTGATCAAATACATACAATAGCTGTTTGTAAGGGACTGAACGAAGTTCTTTCCGGTTCCTTGTAATCATTTCCTTTGGCGACTTCTGGCGATGATTCTGTCGGTCGCTTCAGTAGAAGTGAGCGCTCAGCCTGAGCAGCCTATTTGGAAAAAAGGATGTGGTATGAATAGCGAGAATTTTGATAGATAGCGAATGCTTTGGATGCACGGAAATTCCATAATATGCTAAAGCAGTTTTACTATGAATAGATTTCAAGTAGGTAGTAAACTGATTTGCATTTATTCTCTTTTCTCATTTTATATAGTCAAAATCTAGCTTCAAAATTGTTAAATTGCTAATAATCGAACAGATTTAGCCTTAAAACAATTGCTAGAAATAAGATTAATTTCGTTAAGACCAAGGGAAGCTCTCGGTGCCCTGTAATAAGACATATATCCCAATATTTTAATTATGAATTATCTTATTTCTTTTCTTTTGGGGGGGGTGCTAATAAAATTTGACACGGTGTTGACTATGTACTGGAGACGTAGTTTCTTCAGAAGAAATTTCCGATATATTTAGTGAGAAGTAAACATCATAAAAGAATAAATAAAATAAGTCAAGCAAGATAATTTATTTAGTGTTTGATTAATAAACAATGTAATTACTAGCTTCCTACTCTTAGAAATGTTCTCAAAATGTGCTTTACCATAATCGGTTGTTTAATCAGTTATCAGGAACTTAGCTTATTTAAAAATATGTTTTATGTCATTTATTTCAAGTATTTTATCATACTTTATATATATATTTATTAGATATTATATAAATATAATACATTTTATGATATCGGTATTTCGAATAATATACTTATTTACATACATATTTCATATTTTACTAGTGGCTGAATGTATACATCTGCTGAATACTGGTAATTGACCTAGGTTCAAATCTCGGGAAAAGGATGTCTGTGTGGGTATTTCCATGTGCAACATGAATACGGCTCACTTTCCTTTAAATTCCCGAGCCACTCTCCTACCAGAGCAACGGCTATAAAATGGTTGAACTTTGGTAATTCGAACTAAGTTCATATCCTGATGAGCGGAGTGGGTGCATGTAGTTTCTCGTAAATTTTCTTATATTTAACGTCAATACAAGCCAACTTTCCTTAAAATGTCTTCCTCGGAGGCGTCCCTCCTTTTAAGTATATACCGAGTAGTATGAAAGTGACAGTTCAGCAACAGGATCTCAAGCTCGCAAGCGTTTTGCGGATGAGCGCGCATGTGGAACGGAGATGAGTTCGGTGTGTGTATTTAATTATGGAAAAGCACGCTAGGGCTATCTGCCTGAGGGGAGGGATGCCTTTCGTGGAGGACTTTCTAAGGGAAACTGGCTCGTATACACGTTACACATGGGGAAAACCACGAAAACGCCCATGCAGCCAGCCCGTTCGCGGGATTCGAACCTCGGACCGAACTACCAGTGTTCAGCGTCTTTATCGCTTGGCCGCGGAGATGAGTTCGGAGGCGGAGGCACAGCTAACTGATAATGAGAAGTGTTTTATAATTCTTAATTTAGTTCTTAAATAAATATTTACCTGTTTGAGGGGATTCGAGCCTGTAACAAAGGAATTCATAGTGTAGTACAAAGACTGATTGCTGCCACATGATCTCTAGTCATAAATTGGTAATAAAGTGAATAAGTTAAACTTTATTAAAAAAAAAATTGTGTAGGATGGCCCATCACGCGATGCAATTAATTGCATCTCAACAATCCCGGATATTTAAAACGGAAGATCTTATATGCATAACTTTGTGTTAACTTTCCATAACTTTTTCAAGAAGCCGATTCGCATGAATTTTCCTTAGTTTTAGATGTAAATTTTTAATTATTATCGTAAACTTTAAACTTATCAGTTCCCTGCGTTTTCCTAACTTTAACGTATGTCTTATAACTTTTGTTCACAACAGCATATTTATTTTCCATAATCTTGATACGTAATGTTACTAGATTTTTTTCATACCTTTTTAACTAATGCACTCTTACTTTTAACTCACTTATTATATTTCACGAGCATAATTACTCAAAAAATACTTAATATATTATTTAATTTTAAACGCAGTTTTTAACATCTTTCATATGTTTTAGCGGCCAACTAGCGGCCGAGCGGTAAAGACGCTGAACACTGGTAGTTCGGTCAGAGGTTCGAACGGGCTGGAGGCATGGGCGTTTTCGTGGTTTTCCCAATGTGTAACGTGTATACAAGCCAATTTCCCTTAGAAAGTCCTCCACGACGGCATCCCTCCCTTTAGGCAGACAGCCCTCGTGTGCTTTGCCATAATTAAGTAATCCAATCCATACATTTTAGCGTACTCTAACCTATACTTTGTACTTTTTAACCTTCGAAATTTTCAATATATTCTAATTATTTAACGTATTTAGTATATTTTACCTGCGTAATTACTCAAATGCGCCCTTTTATTTCTTGTATTTAATTTTAGACGTAATTTTTAAGTTCATTTATGCATTTTAAGCTTCCAATATACTTTTAATTTTAACTTATTTCATATATTATTTATTAACTATTTCATAGATACACACATTTATTATTTATTATTTATTTTAGATGTAGCTTTTCTTCTTTAATACATTTAATGTACGAAACTTTCAACATATTCTGCATTTTAATTAATTTGTTATATTTTTTTATCATACACATGAACATTATTTAATTTTAGATGTAAGTTCGTTCCTTTTTAATTCTTAACATCTTTCATTTTTCTACTTGCTCTGGCATTTTCTTACAATTTTTAAATCATAATTATTATAATTTTCGATCGTAATAACGCTTTTGATTTTACTTATTTTTATTTCACTTAATTCTTCATGTTTTTTCACATGTTTAACTTTTCCTAAAGATAACTGATATTTTATCTATTAAGCGTTATATTTTATAAACGTTAACTATTAGTCATATACAATTCATTTAATACTCCTTAGTCTATATTTCATAATTCTATTTTAATTTACATAATCTAAATTTTTTTATTCTGTAGTAGTCTTACCATTACTAATTCTGCTATTTTACTTCTTTATTAACTTCAGTCGCATTCCCAACCTTAATAACTTCCTGCGTATTCAGGTATTTTCTTATAATTTTTAATATCATTTATATCTTAATGCATGTTTCTAAGCTCTTCGATGTCAGCAATGTTTAGTTTCCAACTTCGATTGCCTTTAATAACGAACTTGATATATTCTCAAATTTTAGAATGAAATCTTAACTTTGATCCAGAACCATATTCATTGTTTCCTTTACTCATATACAGAAATCTCTACTATTTTTTTTTTTGGCCCACCAGTGGCCGAGCGGTAAAGTCGCTGAACACGGGTAGTTCGGTCCGAGGTTCGAATCCCGCGAACGGGCTGGCTCCATGGGCGTTTTCGTGGTTTTCCCCATGTGTAACGCGTATACGAGCCAGTTTCCCTTAGAAAGTCCTCCACGAAGGCATCCCTCCCCTTAGGCAAATAGCCCTCGAGGCTTTACCATAATCACACACACACACACACACACACACACACTACTATTATTTTTAACGTTTAATACCTTTTAATTTAGTATTTTTCTCTAATTTTTTGCATTCATACCATTATATTTACGCTTTAAATGCTCTGATTATGGATATTTTACTTTATTAGTTTTTTCCTGCGCTAATTCCGGCTAATTCTGCTTTCATAGACAGGCTTTCAAAGGAAACTAACAACTATTTAAGCCACATGTACAAAAATATTTTTAAGTTTAAACATTTCCAGTATTTAATCAGAGGTAAATTCAGTGTTCAACGATTTTACTCTTTGGTTATCATTTCATCTCTTGAAATTTTCTTTTATTGGTATACTTTTATGGTTGATCTTTACATTATGGTAACTTGGCGATTTTTTGGCGAAAATTTGGCAACCAACTCTCCTACAGCAACCCTCTATTTTTTTTTCCCCGCCGCCATTTTGTCTTCACGAAGTAAAGACATGTTTCTTTTCTTTTTATCTACTGAACACTTCTTCCAACAATCTACTAGCCGAATTACACTTATGCTAGAAATTTTATCAAACAAAACTGCTCAAACAAAATCATGACAAATATTCACTGCAAAATTGGGAAAAAGTGCACAATACCATACACCTTACGCGTTTTTCAAAATAACACATACACATAAACCATGTACACGCCGACTTATTTTTACTTAAAAAAACATCCCAGAATTGCACAAAAATGGCACTGCGCACACTCTTCACTATATCCATGTAACACGGCTTTTTCTCATTAATTAGAAAAATTTCACGAAAATACATGACAATTTTCTCAATCTTTAAACCCGGTAAAAAGAACATATATGAAATTACCTGATCGCGAAAAAGTATTTACCCTTTACAAATATGAACATTTCCACATATAAAATAAATAAAATATCCAAAAACTTTTACCTCTAAATCATCTATTACATTATACACGTCACCAACGAATTCATACCACCGCAAGCATTACGAATACTTAGTATCAAATATTTAAATTATTTCCATGCACGTTTATTTATTTCAACTTAAACGTATACCAAATTCCTACAAACATAAAAATTCACAAAATAACTATCATTTAATTAAAATATAATTAAATTCAAAAACACTACTTAAAATATAAATGAGCACATACATTAAATTAATAAAAATTACCTTACAATCCTAATTACTTTAAACTAAATCATTGCTAATAACAATTTTCCCAATAATACCAAATTCCTTTCCACCTTACATTTTGAACAATGCATAAAAATAATATCCTCAAATAATTAAAAATACTAACTTACCTAATCTTCTTCAGAATCTTGATTATGTGCGGGTACACTTTTCTAATTCATTCAATAAAATTATTGAAAGATTTTTTGTGCGAATTTTTCCTCCATACTTCCTCCGCTAAATAAAAAGCAAACTTCTCTCTATCACAATGCCTAAATACCCATTCAAATTCACTTTATTTAGGGCCATGGGATCCAAAAATTAAACAACACTGTTTCACACAACACAGAATAAAGCTAAATACAAAATATCCACATTTTTTCCCGGTTTCCCCCCTTTTCCGATTAAAGAACCGTAATTCGTCCATTAATATCACATGACATATCCCATGATCTCTCATTTCCCTCACGCAAAATAATGCGTAATCGGAACTGAGTACTGCTCACATTATTACCAAAGTCCCAGGTAGTAACCTTTATCGCCTCCAA